AAAAACAGAAACAAAAACGAAAAAATGTCGAAAGTGAGAGTATCCCGCAAGAGACTTCACGAAAAGCTTCAAAAAAACAAAAAACTGTAGCTGAACCTACACGATACTCGGAACGTATTGCTAGACAGGACTCAGAACTCGCAGGAGCTACCAGGGACATTAGGATTAGTTCCGGTTCCGATTCCGGTTCCCGTTCCAGCTATGACTTAAAGGATCTCCCTTCTTCGGCATCTAGATTCACAGAAGACGATTTGGTGGCACTAAACGCTACATTCATACCGGCTTCCAACGAGAATGAAGTCATTCCTGATGTTGAAGGTAGGAAACACGCTATGTTAATAAACCATTTAATGGACATCTGCTTATAATTTTAATATTATCGTTTAGCAATAAACGTTCCCCAAGAATATTTTCTCCCCGAACTTCCTAGTGATATGCTTCGGAGACCAAATTTTAATGTTGACGGTATTCAAACTTCTGGTCAGCCGATAGTGACAGGCTCAGATCGACTTCAAGCACTAACTTCTATTCATGTCAAAACGTTCCTTAACAATCTGCACAGAGTTGTTATGAATGCAGGCCTTGATATAGGCACGGAGGAATCTAAGACCGACACATTAGTAACCCATCTTCTACTTCGAGTTATTGATTTCGGAGGTTGGCCCTTTGCAGTTAGGTGAGCAATAATAGAAAATGCCTTTGCTTGTTATATATTCAATGGTTTCTTATGTTCGCATCGGATTCAACCTAGAATCAAAGAATCCTATAAGCTGTCCGTTAATTATAAGAAGATATCGGCGATACCTGATATAGTGGTGGATAAGGGAGAGATTTCTATGATGATCGTAGAGGTCTGTATTTTTTTGTTTTTGTGCCATATTTTTTTGATTTACTCAAAATCCTTATTTTTAACAGGACAAGCATTTAAAAAATGTTACGGCACCTGATTTTGGTGAAGCGCAAATTATGGCTGAGATACTCGCTTGCGGATATGAAAACTTACGTACATCCCGTGCTATTACGGATCAAACTATATTTGTCGTTCGTGTTGTCTCCTCCTATGTTACATTTTATAGGAGTAAGATTAGTGCAGGGTATTGGAAAGAAATTAAGAGGGGCTTACCAAGAAAGAAAAAAGTTACGGTTTTAAGATGGCCGATGGCGAACGATCCAGTTACTGGTCTAGATTTTGCAGAGCCAGGTGGAAGGCAAGCAATATTGACTGCATTGGCCAAAATTCGCCAATTTATTTTACAACCCTCCTCCTTCAGCATCCAAAGACCAGGCGGAGCAGAGTAGCAAGAGCGAAGGCAAAAAACCTCTGAAATAAAAAGAAGCTTGTCTAATAGAAAAAAATATAAGCAAAATTAATTTCTAATATAATTTGAATTTCTATTTAACGAAAATCAAAATCACATGACAATTTCTAAACTCAGTAATTAAATCTTAATTTGATTTGGTACTGAATGCAATAAAAAGTTGGCATTTAAATTTATATCAACGTTCTGTGAAAAATGAAAGTATTATCGGACAATTTTATTTAGGGTATTGTTATGAATATGGTATTGGAATTGAAAATAATGAAAAGGAATCGATCATCTGGTATAAACGAGCGGCCAATAATGGAAACACGAC